TATAACTTTTCTCACCAAAATATGCACACAATGTGATTTCAGATGATCAAGTTTGAGAAATTTCTTGCTAATAGAATGACCTTTCTACCCTAAAAGACAACAAATGTATACGAGGTCACAAATTAAAGAGCTACATGTCTTGAATATCAGAGTTTTTTATACCCCTGCTTGAAAAGGGGGAGGGAAAAGCGGAAGGGTATAGAGTAATCGGTTTGTCCATCCGTCCGTCTGTTACGCTTTGGGGTACCCATCTCTTATCCGCAACTCCTCTCATACCACTGAATGAAATTTGATGAAACTTTCACAGTATCTTTATTACATATTGCCACTGTGACCTCCTATTTTACCTTTTGATCCGACACATAATTTGGGTTTCCCATAACAAAACAAAGACACTGTCATTATATTCATATGGGAGACCGGGGTATCATTTAGTGAGGTAATTGCTCACAGTACCACTAGTTCATTTTGCAAATGGTTTTGGATAACAAAATAGACTTTTAAAATTTGAACATAAATGTGTTGTTCCTTTAGTGTTGGTTGATTGATTGTATATTGTTTAACGCCGAGTAGTGTTTCAGAATCGGAGGAAAAATACTATCGATTATCGAATCGAATCGGAAACACCGTTTCGATTCATAATCGAAAATAATCGGACATTTCTCATGTTTCCTTTTTTACATTATGAAAGGCCTTAATTTTTTATTGTGTTATTAATAAGAACTGCAGTAAAGAATACATAGGCCAATATTTCAGTTTTAATGAACAAGGTAATTTTCTACAATTATTAAAGGAGAGGATAACACTTGTTTAAATATCAAAGAAAAATAATTTTAATAGTACATATTTATATAAAATTATGAAACTGATAACTTGTAGACAATTATATGTTTCATTTTTTTAAATAACATTTAAAATGTTTATAATTAAACTATATTGATCAGTTTAACACGTTGAAAATTTTGATTAAAGGTTTTGATTTTTAAAAGATAATTTTCATTAAAGTTTTATTCCTATGTATTACGAAAAAATAAAAGTAAAAGTTCAACAAGTTGTCTACCTTCATAAATGTTCACATTTGAATGGGTGTGCACAATAAAAATAACACTACTTCTTTGAATTCCTTATATATGATTAAAAAAAATGGTAGCATAGTGTTTAACTTCTGACTGTCCTCTTAATATTTAAACTATTAAAAGATAATACATAAAATGTGAGTGGACAGTAGAAAATATCGTTTCATATGAGAACAGAGGAAATTCAGGTTAAAAGACGATTTTTTTTTAAAATGGTGCTCTTAATGGTTATATTTAGTCATCAATTCTTTTGCTGCCTATATGAATTATGTCTAATGGAAGAGAATATTATTTAGATTAAGCCATAATTATTATTTTCTAAACATGTTTACGAATTATTCGCTGACTGAGTTACCAATGCCAATACCAAAGGTTACAAGCACCGTTTAGTACAGACGACGGTAGTAGCTGAGTGCACTTTTTATGCAAATGAGGTCAAAAATGCTGGATTCTGATTGGCTGGGGGATAGGTGGGTCAAGAGAGTGCAGGTTGGGGGTCTGGGGGGATAGCTGGGTCAACTGAGTGCACTTTTGGGGTTTGGGGGATAGGCGGGTCAAGGGAGTGCAGCCCCTGTGGGGGATAGGCGGGTCAAGGGAGTGCAGCCCCTGTGGGGGATAGGTGGGTCAAGGGAGTGCAGATTAGTGGGTCAATTCATTACATATAGTCGGCCCTAAATACGGGGGTGTGTTTACACTGTGTTAACATTATACTATATACGCTGCTACTACTATTCACAACGCTGCTACTACGATTTTGGCAGCGACTTTTATACCTGTTGCATCATCTGTAAGGGCCCTGTGCAAAAAATACGATAGACCTACGTTTTTATGCTGACTACACAGGTATTACTTGGCAGCGATTCAAGTTTGTTTAGGGCCTTGTGCAAAAAATATGCTTACCTATGCATTGTGACGTCATAAACTTGGCAGCGACGTCATGTTAGCCCTTCACAAGCCGCGATGGCTGCTTATTTTGACACAATAACACAGACTTTCACAGCGCTTGAGACTTCATGTAATAACAGTATGGTCCTATGGATTTCAGTACCAAAACTGATTTTCTACCGTTTTTCTTCCAAGAAAGTTCTGAACAGCTGAATCCTGGATCAGCCTAGATGTTATTTCACTGGATTATTTAATGAATATTACTCTACTGAGTTACCTGGTTACATGGTAAGTTTTAACAAACTTTTCTTTATACATTTTCTATGAAGGTCATCTTTGTATTTATTCATTATTACTGTGTTATATACCTTATGTTTAGAACATTCATATAAACACTGCCATTGTTTACCCTGAAATACACTAGGACACTAAAAGATCCTCAAAAATGTTGATAAATCTTTTTTGCATGAGTTATGATCATATTGTCTCACATTCCTTTTATTGGATCAGTATTCTAAATATTCTTATGAGGAGACTCCTAGCATATCTTATAAAATACTGATACATGCTTTTAAAACAACTAAAGTGATATTCTCAGTTGTCATTTCTAATATTTCTATGAATATTTAATCACAGTGACCAAAAGAAGGATATGGAGATAATCAATCAGATCATATTATGCCAATGAATCTTTTGTCTCAAATCTTTTTTAATGAAATATACAGAATCTTTTGCCTTATTTGTCACTCATATTTTTACATTCTGGTGCAACAGTGGCCCAATGAAAGTGGGAAAAACTCAGTCTGAGCATCTCTGTAAATCTATAAACATGTGTCCCCCCCCCTTTTTTTAAACCTTCATGTATATACATGTATGTATTTTATTTAGTCAGTGATTTCAAACATCAACATGTAAAATATATATTGAGTACTTTAAAAGTGAATATGCATGATTTGTACACCCTGAATATTCTGACATACTAATGGTGACATCAGTTAAAAGAGTAATTAGTTATGTAAAATTCAGTTTATATGAATGTAAATGGGGTATTTATTCTCAGTTCATGTAAGGTATAATTTGCATGTAACCCAGAGTGTATTTAATATTACTATGATGGGTCATTCTGTGATTGAATTTAAATCAGAAAAAATGTTTACTAAATTTTGGTAAAATATATATGGTATCTTTTACATTTCTGTCCTGTTTGTCTGTCAATTGTTGCTTTACTTCCTTTGTAAAATGAGGTTAATTTGTGTATCACTGAATATTGTATGCTTTTTTTCAGGATCAGCTGAGATGTTATTTCACTGGATTATTTAATTGGGCATATAATTGGATAATTCTGGTAAGTTTGTCTTTGTTTTGTTTACATTTCCTATGAAGGTCATCTTTGCATTTAACCATGATTATATGGATTAATTTAATTACTGTGTGATTCTTATGTGATCTAATATCTCTAACATTCATATCATATTAAAATTTTGACGAAATATTTGAAACTGAAACTGACATTGGCTAATATCTCTAACATTCATATAAGCACAGTCTTTTTTGTCTAAAATATACTAAGGAAACTTCATATTGTTAATTGAAAACAATTAAGTAAATGTGCCTTTTGCATAAATATATTCCAAACTCGCAAACGTCGAAGATCCACGCCATGCAATAGTATGGCTGCAATTAGTGAACATCGATCCCGATTAAGTGTGAACGTACATAGCGATATATCGGGATCATTCAGGTTTATGTATGCTTACGCTTTTATTCGATATTTATAGTTGTTTTTTTTATTATTATTATTTGAATTCTCATTAATCGGACAGCAATATTCACTTGTCCGAATTTTTTTTTCATTGGTACCAGACAAGCGGACAAGCGTTAATGTCGAGCCCTGTAAGCACAGTCTTATTTTGTCTAAAATATACTAAGGAAACTTCATATTGTTAATAAGTCCTTTTGCATAAATTATGATATAATGTCATAATTCATTATTTCTGTTACCCATTGAATTCAGACTTACTAAATTGTGATCTATAAGGAATGTAATAAAAGAAAAAGTAAGAATCTACAAAAGGTTTATCCTTGTTTTGATTCTAAATATGTGGTATATATGGCATACATATATTTTCATTTTCACTTTTGTTTCTTGGTAATGAGCTTTTCAAAAAATGTAGGACTACATGTTGTATATGCTAATATCTTTTTGTATGCTGTACTGACAGGTATTAAACAAAATTGAATATGCTGTTAAGAGAAAGTCTGTTAGTGTCTAAAAATTACACTGATAATCATTTTGTATTTGTGATATTAATACAGTAACTGTGCTTCTTTTGTTATCTAAAGATAACATGATGAACTATTTTCATGAACTTTTTGGCACTGTATTTAAACATGCAATGTTTCATGCAGTTCCTTGTCATATTAACAAAATGATTATATTTTCTACAGTCCTCAACCTGGAAGATATGTTTTATTCCTAACCATCTATAATCCATTCTCTTTGAAGTTCAGCCTGTCTGCCCAAATTCCTTTGGAAATACATAGTTAGTCAACCAACATAGAAACAATCTAACTTGAAGGTAAAGTTTCAATGAGATACAATTGTAATTTTAATTTATTTAATTCTGTTTTATTTAAATGTTTATATTTTAAAATGGATAAAAAAAAATGGATAAAAAACATCTGATAATGGAAATCAATATCATAAAGATAGTAAGTTTTTTAGTGTCTAAATAATTAATCTGATAATCATTTTATTTATGATATTAATACAGTAGTTGTGCTTGTTTATTATCTATAGATAACATGATGAACTTTTCTCATCTGGAGTTAATGTTAAAAACAATTTTTTGAGATTAAAAACAAATATTTTGATGATCTTTTTTGGCATTGTACATGTTGTATTTAAACATGCAATGTTTCATGCAGTACTCTGTCATATTAACAAAATGGTTTTATTTCTACAGTCATCAACATGGAAGATATGTTTTGTTCCTAACCATCTGTAATCAATTCTCTATGAAGTTCAGACTGTCTGCTCTTCCTTTGGAAATACACAGTTAGTCAATCAACATAGAAACACACAAACTTGAAGGTAAAGTTTCAATGAGATACAATTGTAATTTTTATTTATTATTTATTTATTTATTTATTTATTTATTTACATATGCATTTTTATATTTCTGAATTGATAAGTAAATGATATATGATTTTTTTTAAATAAAGAGGGCTTGGTGGTCATGGTCATGTTTAAACTCTATTGATATCCTTTAGAAGAAGAAGAAAAGGCATAAAAATTCATGATCAAATTTTTAAAACTAAAATGTATGAAATTTTTCTTTGCCAAATGATAGTTAACAGCTGAAGATAACATATTTATAGAATAAGTTAAATATGGCTAATTTGTTAACCCCAGCTTCCTTAATAGCATAATTGGTAAAGATAGGAAGTTTTGACTTCAATTGCTGATGAATTCTGAATTTTCCATTTAATATTAACATTCTATCAAAGATAAAGAATACTATAATGTGGCTCATTAGGATGACCAGAAAAGAAATCTTAATGACCCTCTTGACTATGTATAAAGATTGTAACCTTATAACTGATGTAAGATGATCTGATTGTGTGGAAATAAAATTTCCTGGTGTTTCTACTACCCAAGATCTTCTTATGAGTGTATGGGACTGCTGTAAACCTTCTCCTGTTTATAAAAATAATACCTTGGAGCATGACACTTTATTCATAAAAGGTACTTTCAATATCATTTCTATGAGTTTGTGTTCTTTCTTTTTAATAATCTAGTGTTGTATCTCCTTTAACCTCATTAATATGTATGCTTCCAACATCTTAGATCTGTCTGTATAGTTTCTTAAGCTCTTTGAACACAAATACCCTGATTCAATCTTTTGAGGTAAACATCATAGAGACATCATAGATGATTATCAGAGTGTATATATCACAATCTTGACCATAAGGTCAATTTAAATGGTCAAAGGCACAACAAATGAAAGTGAAAACTTTTCTTTCTTTTTTTTATCAGAATACATAATTTTGTAATAAACAAACACTGGAAAGTTACTCTCATAATGAGCCTTAATGTCTTCCAAGAGTTCAGTTTGGACTTCCTCCATTAATCCTTGTATCTTGTAATCCTTGTATCTCCAATGGTTTTGTGGGCTAAAAATCATGTGTCTTTAACAATCTTTTTTTTCTGACAACTGTTTTCTCTTATCATCTATAAACTTGACTTCTTTCTAGTCAAAGGTCTTTCAGGGTAATCCAAGTAATTCTCACCCTCTTTTGGTAATAAATGGTTATATTCTTCATTGGCTTCTTCTGCAATCAAGGGTCTTTCTATGTAATCTCTGACAACATTAGGATCACCCTTTTCTGGACATAATTGGTTATATTCTTCTTGAGAAATGATCTCAATAGTGCCATCTTTTTTTATTTTAACTGGTATACCTCTGTCTACATCTTTCTCTGAAAGAATTCTCTCTCCGAACTGAATTTTATTCATTCCTTTACTCTTTTCTTTACTAGAGGTGTTACCCATGGTTAATATGAAAAGTCAAAATCTTATGTTACAACTTGTTTTTATACCCTTTTTGTCTATATGTAGAATTCCATCAAGCTTATTTTACATTACAATTTTTTTTTTTCAACTAAGACATTATTTTTTTTTATTTTTTCAGGATTCTCTAGTGAGAGGTTATGGAAATGATCTATGTCTACTGTTAGAATGGTGAAAGACTCTCAGATTATGCAAAGACTAACAGAATATCCTCTCTTGGAACACTGAAACAAGAAAACCAAACTTAAGAGGATGGAGGATTTAAGAAGAACATAAATATGATTTCCATCGAATTTAACCAGTACGATCATAGACTGTGGTTTATAGAGGATGACAAAGAAAGGACCCAGGATTGTATGTTTCACTGTCAGACACTGACTATGGATAAAGTGTAATCATTTATCAAACTGAGATCTAGTCAAATCAAGTACTGAAAATATGATTTTCTGATAGCATGAGCTCTTTAAAAACTATTTCTCACGGACCTCAAAGTATCTGAATGTGACTTTTATTTTTACCAATTCATATTGAAGACTGTTGTTATGTATGGGAATTACACATTTAAACCTTTTATTTTTCATCTAATTTTTACAACCCCCTAGAAATTACACAGATATCCAGATGCTGGATTTAATGGTATTATTTAACTTTCCTGGAATTGTAAATATATTTTGTTTGTGTATGTATCATGTTTAATGTTGAATTTAAAATTTGTCTCAATAGGACCCCCATAAAGATGTAAGTGTCCCATAATCTGTGATGCAATAATATCTTGAATATTTGTTGTCATTCCATATACTTCATACTTACTACATAAATACTGATTGGAGGAATACACTTTGTTGTTTGGGACACTTTATCAAGGTCAAAGCATGAGATTATTGAGAAGACTACTTTGACAATAATTTGTAACTTACAAACTTCACATCGTAAGTACATAAATGAAGAATGAATAGGATGAATAAGAGATTTCTTAAGAAATCTTGGATCATGTTTCTCCTGAATAAAAACCAGTTACTGAGATAACTGATATGAGTCTTGCAATAACTTCAACATTTTGTAATAAGTATAGAAAATATGATTTTCTGATAGCATGGGCTCTTTAAAAATTAATTCTCACGGACTTCAGAGTATTTAAATGTGACTTTTATTTTTGGCCAATTCATATTGAAGACAGTTGTTATGTATGAGAAGTATACATTTAAACCTTTTATTTTGCATCTTATTTCTATAACCCCCTAGAAATTATACAGATATTCAGATGCTAGATTTAATGTAATTATTACTTTCCTGGAATTGTAAATATATTGTATTTGTGTATATATGTATGTGTATTGTACCCTATTTTTAAATTTAAAACTTGAAACATGATAAAGGTCCCTTAGTATCCCACATCAAGATGCAGTTACCCAGTAATCTATGATGCAATATCTTGAATATTTTTATCATCTCATATACTTCATGCTTACTATACATAACAGCTTATAGTAATACACATAGTTTTAAAGGACACATTTGTCAAGGTCAAAGCATGCGATTATTGAGATAACTACTTTTGAAAATAATTTGTAACCTACAAACTTCACATCATAAGTTAAGAATGAATCGGAGATTTTCTATAGATTTTAAGATCATTTTTCTTCTGGGTAAAAGTCAGTTGGTAAGATTACTAATATGAGCTTTGTAATGTTGAGACTTTATATCTGTTATATTGGGTGACATGGCATATTCTGTGGAAAGAATTGGAAATGTAAATCAAATGCACAACAAGGATGTTTAAAGACTATTACTATGTAATACCTAAGAATTCTGTAAAAAATCTTATTATCACTGCATAGATAAAGACTGGTTGGAATAATATAAGTTTTGAACTAAGGTCAAGGGGAAAAACCCATTCATAAATAGATCTGCATGGGGAAGACTCCTCTAGATCTTCATTCAAAAGTAAAGAAAGTATTTTTTTTTTAAGTTTGAAAGATTGAATGGGCAGCATACCATTTGCTTATGAATTTAAAATGAATCCAAACATATACATCTTTAGATGATAACTGTAGAATTTTTTCAATTCCTGGACTTTCTGTCTTGATATTTTCCTTTATTTTCTGTAAAATTTAATGATTGTCTTTTTTAGTTTAGTTGCATTAGTTTCTTTTTGGCATGTAAAAATGACATCATCCAATTTGAAAGAAGTTCATCTACATTTTATATTTAGGAGAGAATTTTTCATCAAAGGTTTCATTTTTGTTTATATGGAATGCTAAGTTCTGTTGATTTCCCTTTTTCCTACTAAAGACATACCAGTAGAGTAGTAAATGTACATGATGTGTCAGCAAAGCATGCGGAAACCTGATGACTTTATCATTTCTGATTAAATCAAATTATGAGTTTCATCTTTGTTACACTGTAATAATTCCTAAATAGGACACGCACCAGAAACTCTTAAAATGATCTCTACTGTTTTAACTGAGCATCAGGCTTTAACAGTACATAACTATTCCAAATGATTTTTGGACGCTTTTGTATCAAAAAGACAAAACAGTTGGTTCACAGATGTTCCAAAGAAAAACAGCCACAAAGAAATGATTTGTTATGTTCTTTGATTGATTCATGTAAAATATATTTTTAAAAATATACTCTAACATTTATCTTTTGCATAAATAACTTTTTGTGGAGAATTTTTCATAACTTTAAAAAAGTAGTCTTATTGTTTAATATGGTTAGCTTAAAATCTTGTAGACTTTAAAGTTTTACATGACCTGTCACACATCTTACATGTGTAACCATTTCATTTCAGGGTATTCAGCATATATTGTGGTTTTCTCTTAAATTTATTTGCTTATGTAATCAATAATTTAAGAATACTCAAATTAGGAAATGTAAGAGAGAATAGGCAAGAAAATCAGGGTTAAAAAATGTTTTTACTACAAAGGGGTTATTCTATTATTTAATATATAAGTACATTCAGTCTATACATTTCATTTGGGTATGAAATAAACTTACATTTGAGCATTTTAAGACAATTGTAAATATTACTTTAATCTGTTTAAAAAAAAAAAAATGACGAGATTCACTGTCAGCATGTTATTTCCTATAAAATAAAAAGAAAACAAACAATTTTATTTGAGTCAGTTTTTCTTTAAATGTAAATAAGAAGCATTGGAAGTTGGGAATATTTCACAAAGTTGATTGAATATAATACTCACTAGGACAGTTGGAGTATTATGATTTTACCCTAAAGGACACCAGTTAAAATTTCAATATACAAATCATGATTAGTCATGGAGTATAAAGTTTACACTTGCCAAAAAGTAAATGGTATCTCTATTCAGGGTCAATCCAAAGGAATGAAAACAATGTTTCTTTCTATGTATCAAATTTGAAGGATTTCTTGCAATAATTTCACAGTGTTCCTGTTCTGTTTTCTTTCTATGTATGGATAACCCTAACCTGTTCAATCAGAATACAAGAAGTAAATAAATTATGTCAAATGAAGAAGGTGCACAGCAGAAATTTACATGAATTGAACAGAGAATTCTGAGTTTCCCTCAAATATGGCACCAAGTGATGTAAATTTAAAAGAAAATGTGGATCCATCTTATGATTGAGACTAGTACATATTATGAATGATGGGCATTATGACATTTAGAATGACATTACATTGATTCAATTATATGGACAGCTCTTAATCCATACAGTCAAAATGGAGGAAATATTTTTCTTTATAGGCATAAAGTAAGAAACACTCACCCAATTCATCAGAATTTTACTCTTTAAAGAAAAGGAGCCTTACTTGCTTTGTTGAGTTGACATTCCTATTTTGTCTTTGGTAGGTACACTGATGGTTTCCTTGACTATAATGGGAACTTTTTATTTAAAAGTCCTCAGATTGTCCTGATATTTTGGTTAAAATAACTGCATGACATCAAATAATTTGTTCATACAAAGAAATAAAGTTTTTTCCAGGTTTCTTCTTTTTTGGGTCAAATTAAAAATAGTGTCCAACTAATATATCCAACATATAATACAAGATAATCATCCAAGTTACACAAAGGTAAATAAATGACCTTTTTAAGGTTTTAGTCAAAAGACATTTAGAATGACATTACATTGATTCAATTATATGGACAGCTCTTAATCCATACAGTCAAAATGGAGGAAATATTTTTCTTTATAGGCATAAAGTAAGAAACACTCACCCAATTCATCAGAATTTTACTCTTTAAAGAAAAGAAGCCTTACTTGCTTTGTTGAGTTGACATTCCTATTTTGTCTTTGGTAGGTACACTGATGGTTTCCTTGACTATAATGGGAACTTTTTATTTAAAAGTCCTCAGATTGTCCTGATATTTTGGTTAAAATAACTGCATGACATCAAATAATTTGTTCATACAAAGAAATAAAAATTTTTCCAGGTTTCTTCTTTTTTGGGTCAAATTAAAAATAGTGTCCAACTAATATATCCAACATATAATACAAGATAATCATCCAAGTTACACAAAGGTAAATAAATGACCTTTTTAAGGTTTTAGTCAAAAGATCAAAGTGAGAAGGATATTTAATAGTTTGGTTAATATTCATCAAACTCCATGGATGGATTAATTAAACAAGCTTCATAAATTTTGATTTTCAGGTAAAAGATTAGCACAATTTTTGCTATACCATTGTTGTCCATGAATATCTAAACAACTCTATTGATTTTTCAGGTTAAGGGTCAATGTGTTCCTACTACAGTAAAACTTCATTAAAGCTGACATGAACTCTTAAAAAGGCATCATTTTTCATCTTTGTACGACTTACTACATTCCTGTACGCCTTTGTCCGCCATATTTCTTCGATTCCGCCATATTTAATCGAACATTTTTGGCCACCTGTTCCTGCTATATATAGCCTTTTACAATTGTTTCACTTGAGTGATTTTCTATCCTGGCTGTCGACATGTGCACATCACCGATAGCATAGTTTTTAGAAATCCATAAACTGACTAATACATGTTTGAAAAGTAAAAAATCAACAAAAACTAGAACTATACCGATAATTAAATTATTTTTGAATGCATTTGCTGCAATATAGAAAATACACTTACACGGAATACATTCAAGTAGAGCAAAAATTCCATGCAGGTCAGTCGAGAAAACGCGTCAAACGCAGTGATAGAAATATTTACCTGAATACTGCTATCGTTACAGGGATGTGCACATGTCGAAAGAATTATCCTATTTTACTTTTATTGAAAAATGCATCTCAGAAATCATGTAATCCATTGCTAAC